GGATATCCAGACTTAGGCTGAGAGGCTTTGTACTTGGAGCCTAGATGGGGGTGAACAAAGTCCCAGAATATAGGATCCAAAGGCCCAGAAATCACCTTCTGGATATTTGAGTAATCTGCCACAAGTAATGGGAATGAGCTACTATAACATGGTTGGCCAAGACTGGTGGTCTATTTGTACTCTCAGTCTTGTATGGCAGTCGGGAAATTTTCGAGATGGTAACAGTGAACTTGTTGACAGAATTAGTCTCAGAGGAGGTCAACAGGGAAGCAGAAGACAGAAACATCCGAAAACAGTCTCAGAGGATGTCAACAGGGAAGCAGAAGACAGAAACATCCGCAGGTCTGTGGCAAAGCTGAGGGCTTTAGCCTTTCCCATGCTCTCCATCTACATGTCCCCAAGGCCCTAAATAAAAATAGAAGCAGTCTTTAAGAAGTCTGTGGAAAATGAATATTTTGAGAAAACCAGCATGGATTTCAAAACTTTTTTGCCCCAGAATAAACTCAAACTTTAATTCCATTTTTTTTCCTCACATACTTTCTGAAGTTCCTTGTTCCTCTAGATATAAACTCATTTTCATTTTCACATTCAACTTCAACAGAGGAATAGAGGTCTCCAAGCACCAGTCCTCTGCTCTCAATCCATCCCTAACCAGAGTGACCTCATAAAGCTTCTCCTATATAGGACATTTGGGGCTGTGTGTCACACAAGAAGAGTTTGAGGCTGAGGTCAGTCTGACTCCTCTTCCTCAGGTCACTATGGAAGAAGAACTAGAACTAGCACAGGGCGTGAACAGAAGATCTTAGAATCTATCAGGATCCATTGCCCTTATTTCAACCTCTCTTGTTTAAAGTCCCTTTCTCTTCTCCCTCATTCTATCTAATCACTTCCTTAAAAGAGAAAAAAGCCTTTGACTCTTGGATGATCCCAGCAGTCCCTTTGTCCCCATTCCCACTGCCCAACCTTACCTAGCCCAGCAATGAGCTCATAGGAAGAGCTCTGTGGCTACTGATGCTGATAGAAAACAAACAAACAAACAAACAAACAAACAAACAAACTTCCTTTAGTCAAGTGACAGTGACTTAAGCAGACTTTCCTTGCAGGAGTCCCATTCCCCTTCATTATTACCTGACTGTCCCCTTTTCCCTTCCATGGCAGCTCATTCTTCTACAGACAGGGTTAGCATTTTCCCAGGCTGGGAGGGGGGAGTTCAGGCTCCTGGTATCTTAGTTTATAAAGGTCACTGGTTAAATTACTCTCTTGAAGTGCTACCCTTGGTGAGTACCAGGGAGGACTAGGTGGGGCCCCCAGTCTGTCTCCTAGAGATGTTTGGTTCATAAGCATACTTTGCTACTGTATTCGATGTCACCTGTGGAGTTTGTCTCTGTTCCTGTCCTGCCTTCTGCTCATATAATTCCTCTATACATTGAAACTTAGATCAGCCCTGAGATTAGAACAGGTTGACAGGCCAAGGTCAATGAGGAATCTCCTTAGTGCTTCCCACTGTAAGAGTAGTTCTAGGCTCAGAAACTGCCTAAGAGCCCCTGTCACTGGAGTGGCCCTATGTCTGATTCTGGTTTAGTCTTCTCGTTTCAGTATCGTATCTGGCTAGTGACACTTTTCACTCTGTAGCATTTCAAATTGTACAATTAGCAATATAATCACCCTATATCTAATATCTAACCCATCTTCACTCAGTTTAAGCTGGGGGAGAATAGAAAAGTGGCCTGAATTGGCCCAAAAGAATCCACTTAGATTTTTTTTTTTTTTTTTGGAGAGGTTTTTGCTATAGGGTGTGTGTACTCACTGGAAAGACAGAGAGAAACAGAGAGACAGAAAGTGAGAAATCACCCCCCGGGGGGATGGCCATGCCGCAATCCCTACTCCTCCATTCTCCTCTTGGGATCTTGGGCATGCACGCACATATGCCTGACATGAGTTTAAGCCACCAGGTCCATGACTCGAACTGCAGTCGACTACCTGGGAGTCCAGCAATATAGCCATTATGCCAACTACTGGTCCCAAACCCACTTAGATTCTAAAGAAGCAGAGACAAAAGAGATTAACTTCCCAGTGCCTGTCAGTTAAATGTTGGGAGTGGTGCTTTTTGGGAGAGACTAAGAAATTACTGTGAAGACCTGAGGTAAGGAGCCTTACCTAGGTTAAGTAGGGTGTTGGTTAGGAGCTTGATGGGATTTGTAACTCTCTCCATCTCTGTTAAGTCTCCTGGGCTGATGGTGAAATGTGCCTTGCCTTTTATCATTCAGAGGAGATTCCTTCATTCTTCATCTTGACCTGCTTGTAAATTCTAGGGTCCCAATCAGTATCTCCTCCCACATCTTCCCATCTGCTAATACTTCTGCTTTCTGTAGCCCCAAGACAAGAATCACAAAACCCACAGGCCCCATTTCTTGTCTATGAGGGGTTACCTACTTTGTACCTCCGCCCTGATCTTGCCCTGCAGCTGTTCAGCTCCCTCACAGCTCTGTTCACATACCCACCCCCGCCCCAGTTCCAGTTCACTCTCTCTAGGCCACACAGTAATTGTTTTTCTCTGCAACATTTTCTTGTCTCCTCAGCTGCTAATCTCACCCTGTCCTTGTGAGAAACTGCCAGAATATCTGCTACCTTCATATAGGTCTGGGGAGTTGGAAGTCATCCTCTGTGAATACTGGTTCAGGGCTAAAGCTTGTCCCCTTTGTTTGCAAGCATTTTTAGCCATCATTAAAACAAACCCACACATAATCAACCTCAGCAATTGCCAGTTAAAAAAAAAAAAAAAAAGAAACAACTTGACTCTATAATTTGATTAAAAATGGATATAGAGGACTTGATGTTAAGCAAAGTAAGCCAGACTTTGAAAGATACACAAGGTTTATCCCCATTCAATATGTACTGAATGTCTGCACTCTATGGCAAACATTTTTTAAAAATCCAAAAATATGACAGTAGAGAGGATAAGTACAGATACCAGATATTGTAAAGGAGGAGGGTGGGTGGTAGAGGGAAGGTGGGAGAGGGTGAGTGGGCAGGGCAAAAGGAAGAAACATTTAACAAATAAGGAATATAATAAAGTTATCTGTGGAAAAAGAAGTTATGTAATTTTTTCTTTATAAAAATAAAAACTTAATTTAAAAATAAAACAAAATAGCTGAAGAGTGAACATCTGTCGGTAATATTAATAGAAGAAACACTTTTAACTTTTGTACAAAAGATTCTGGAAAGACGTAAAAAAAAAAAAAAAAAGAAGAAAAAAAAAGAAAAGAAATTTAAAAAAAAAAGTACTTTAGCTTGAGCTTGAGAAATCTTGAAATAATTATGACGGATGGAAGTTATTGGCATCAAACCTCCTAGGCCATCCTTGCTGGACCTCATCCTTTCTTAACCTGTACAAGTCACCTCTAAAGAACCTGTTATCTTGACTTCCTGGATACCCAGCGGAGCGAGATGGACCATGTCCTTCTAAATTCATACCCATTAAAATCTCAGGATGTGACCTCATTTGGAAATAAATATTTACTATTTTCTAATTGGTTTAGATTTCTAGATGAAATTGTTCTAGATATACCTGGAGCCCTAAATACATTAACTTATGTCTTGATAAGAGAAAGGAGAAGGAAATATAGATGCCCAGAGACAGAGAAAAATACCACATGCAGACAGAGGCAGAGATTAGAGTGATGCTACCACAAGTCAAGGAATATCAGTAGCCACCAAAGTGGAAGAAGCAAAAAAGGCACTTGACCCTGATGACACCTTGGTTTTAAACTTCTGGCCTCCAGAAGTGTGAGGGAATACATTTCTATTGTTTTAAACACCCAGTAGCACTTTGTTATAGCTGCCCCAGGAGACTAAGGCAGGAAGGTCTCTTCAGTGTGTTACTGTGGGTCCTGCCCCAGTTTGGGAGCAGCTGCTCCAGGATCAGCCATGACATCATGAGCCATGATACAATGAGGAATCACATCATCTTGCTTACCACTTGGGCAAAACCCTCAAGGGTTGTCTTTAGAACCTGTCACAGCTTTGCCGCTTTCCAGTAATTTAATTTGTGTACTGCAGCTTCTACACATTCAAAATCGGGAGAATAACACCACTTCTAGGATCATTGTAGAGATTAAACGAGGCACCACACATGGTGTACAGCCAAAAATCTGGAGCCAGCAGGTTCTCAGTACGAGGTTCCTTCATCTTTCCCACTTTGTTTCTGCTTTCCCCCTTTCTTTTTCACTCCCAACCAACTTAAACCTGACCTTTCCCACTGTTCCAAGCCTTCCTTTCTCTAATCACACTCTCTCCATCCCCTAGTGTAGTGAATTACACTGCAGGCAGAATTTACCCTGGTAAGGTAACTGTCTCTACCCAAGTGGAAGCACTTGGACTATGTTTAGGGGGTCTGGTCACCATCCATCAGGTGAAGGAACTCATTGGGAGGGATTCTCCATAGCATTTCAGCCCTCACTGTGTCCATTCTGCCCAGGGCCTGACTCCATGAGTCGTGGTCCTGGGACATCACTTGTCCCAGATTTTACCAATCAGTTTTCTCAACTTTGCCTTCTCTAGGATTCCAACCTAGACATACAGAGATGCCTTAAATCTTTAAGCACAAATCCTGAAACAACACAAGCTGAAGGTGTTAAGAACAAACACAAAAACTAAAGGCCTAACAATGACACTTAAACCTGGATTGAGAAATGACCAGGCACTAGAAACCACAAGTCTGCTTGGTCCTCTGTCCTGGGCCAGGCGGGGCACTCACTATGCTTCTTCTCTGCCCTCATCACCAATTTTGCCATGCTCGGCCATTGTCGTTCATACTGCCATTGCATTGAAGAGCTGGCATGCCTGGTACAGTCTGTGACATTTGAGAATCTCCATGAGGATGAGCAGAAGGAAGCACTGTTGGTCAGAGATGAGGGCTGGTGACTCTACATGGGTGAGGGGATGGTGCCCTCCTCAAGTTAGGTAGGTCAGCGATGAGCAGAATGCCGGAGACACCCAGAGACACAAACAGGCCCATCAGGCTAATTTTATTGGGTTAGTCTATTTCAGACACAGATTTGGGAGTTTTATGGGCATGGAAGCAGAGAAAGGACAGATGTCCATGTGGGAAAGGGATGAGAGATGGAGGGAGAATGACTCTTTAGGAATACAGACTAGGAATAGATATAGGAGAATCTATGTGAAGACGAAGGATGATTCAGGACGCACATTAGGAAGTGGCCTCAGGAACCCTTTTTCTTGACCTAAAAAGAGAAAGAATAGCGTCAGGGCCCCAGGGACCAGGGAGTAGTAGGAGGAGGGCAGAGGAGACAGTTGCAGGGTGGTAGAGCTCATTGCTTCTCCAAATCCTTCAGTGATGTGATTTGTAATGATCCCTGCATTTTCTTCCCAGTCCAGGATTGTCTCTCCATTTTCTGGGACACCATTGTGGTTACATTGACAGGATATATGAAAGCTGGAGTGTGGCTCTGAGATTCCCTTATATCCCATGTATGATGGCCCCACCCCCTTTTGCTTATCACCTTCCCATCCTGTCCCTTCCTTACCATGGCCATCAGCACAAGGGTGCTGACCAGCACAGCATACAGGGTGGCCTTTCCCAGCAGGATCTCATACAGGATGGTGGCAGACAGGACCCCTTGCTGGTAGGATGCTGATGGAGACAAGGAATAGAGGTGGTACTGTGAGCCAGAAGCTATTGCTTCTCCCACCTGCAGGGTCCAGGAGATCTCCACGCCCTGGTTTCAGAGTAAAGGCTGTGGGAGATGGAGCTACAAAGGAGAGGTTCACTTACCTGAGGTGAGGCCACAATCTGAAAGAAAAAGGGGGAGAAAAATGAGACCATGTCACTACTTGAGGACCCCGAGCCTCTCATCACAGACTTTACAGCCCTAGATCACAGGCCACAGACACGTGCACAGCAGACGGTGCAATGTCAGCCTCCTCTGATGGCCCTGGTGCTGCCCGGTGCCTGGACACGTCATTATGACTCAGAAAACCAGGACAGTGAGTGTATCAGAGCCCACTCATGCTCAGATGCTGAGTTGTCAGACTGGCCGTGAGGGGGGTCTCTCTGGGCAGATGTGAGGGGCTGAGGACCTGGGGGAGGAATGAGCTGAGGTGCCCTGTTCATCCGCCGTGTCTGCACCATGGACAAGAGGTGCCCCCCGGGCCTTGCTGACATCATGGACCTCGCTCTTTCCTCCCACCCACTCTGGCCTCTTCTGGATCTAGTCTCATCTTGGAACTACCTGGATCTTCCCGTTTCCCTCTGGTGGCTGGTCAGCTTCAATCTCTGTGCCCCGCCCAGACCCCACTCACCTGCTCTGCCCCAGGCCGAAGCACTGATGTTCTGGGTGATGGGTTTGGGCCTGGTCAGGGTCCAGTTGTCTTCCTTTGTGAGCCCAAAGAACTGGACCTGGCAGCGGAAGTGGTTGCGGGGGTTGTGCCAGAAGGCAGCCGAGACCCTCAGGCGGCTGCTCAGGAAGTAGCTGGAGTTGTCGGGCTTCTCGCTGTAGGGCTGAGGGTCCGTGCTGACCCCACTGTGCACCTCCTTCCTGTTCACCCACCAGCTCAGCTCCACGTGGTCGGGGTAGAAGCCCGTGGCCAGGCACACCAGTGTGGCCTTGCTGGTGCGGTTGATCTCTGCTTCGGATGGCTCAAACACGGTGACCGTGGGTGGGGTCACCTTGCTCAGGTCCTCTGGAAAGTGAAGAGACATTGGGCCCTGGGCTGTTCTGAAGGCTGCCTGGGCCTGATAGGGGCTGTGTATGTGTGTGTGTGTGTGTGTGTGTGTGAGAGAGAGAGAGAGAGAGAGAGGGCCAATCACGGAACCCCATGAAGCTAAAGGATGTCCCAGTAGGCCCTCATTGTGCTGGGACCACCATCTTCGTTCTCTTGAGCAATCCCCCCTCTCCTGTGCCTTTCCTTTGTGTTCACCCTTGCAGAGCCCACCATTTTCCTGCCTGCTAACGCAGCTTTATGAATGGCACTACCCCACATTCTGGGCACTGCTTCTTCATTGGTGTATTTTGATTTCATTTCTTTCAATAAGAGCTTACCTGTCTGTCAACTCTCACAATACTATGTAGTAATGTAAATGGAGCCCTGGGTTGATATCAGAATGACAAGAGCCACATCCTAGAATTGATATTGCCCACCAATGTGACCGAGGACAGTTTTCTTCTCTTTCTCTGCATCACTTTTCTGCTTGAGAAGTGAGAATCACCAGTCACTGCCGACTTTCTAAAATGGGTGTGAAGGTGAAGTAATAAAGGAATTGGCCTAAACTGAGTTATTTGTTTCTGAATCTAGGGGCCGAGAAATTAAGGGAAATCTGAGATGAGGGAGACGTTTGGGGGCTGGGGACTTCCTGTAAGTGACAATAACAGTGGCCTAGTTTTGTTTTAGTGAAGTTGCCCTGTTTAGTGTGTTCATGAGAACCCAAGATTTTTTGTCACAAGGTCATCCTATCTAGTCCTGCCTCCAGGTTCTAAGAGTTGCCTCAGCTCACCACGGAGTAATCTCCTCTTAGTTCAAATCCAGGGACTCATCAACCTGCTTTGTCCTTTTGTTTCCAAATATTATGCTTTTTCCCACCAGCAAGTTTCCTAAATAAGCAACTGATATCATAGAGGAATCTCTTGCTACTCTCTTGCATCCCCTTTGCAGATTCCTAGGGGGTCAAGGTGAATGCACTTCCTTTATTCCCTTAGCCTCTCATTGGGCACATCCAGGCTTATCCTCTAGTCATTTGATCCTGTTCTTTGCTATTCATTTTTTAAAATTTTTAATTCTGTTAAAGTGAAGAAATTCATTCTTATGGAAACCTGTTCGTAGTCTCTTGGACTATGGGAAAAATTCATTCTCATACTGCTTCTTGTTCCTACAGATGTGACTTTGTCCCACGGCTGGCTTTGTGGAAGGACAACCTATGGTCACACAGAATCACATGCTTAGAAGTGCCTGTGCTTGGTTTAACGTTCCTCCAGCAACATTTTGGAGCTTGAAATAATTTTCAACAGGGGTCCGCACATTTTAATTTGAGCTGGGCCTGCAAATGTGGTAGCTGGTCCTGCCTCCCTCATGCCAGCTTCCCCTTCCCCCACGCCCACCTTGACAGTCACTGTGGTACCCTAACTTCTATCTGTAGTACGTGGCACCTTTGGTCTTTCTTCTCTCTGCCTGTTTTTTTTTTTTTTTTTCCTGCTCTGGGTTTCTATCAGTCCTCTAGAGGCACTAGGGAATGCCCTCCTTTGAACCCCTTAATCTGCAAACAGTCCCTTTTGCAAAAATCAAAGATGTGGCTTCAGCCTTGTGGGTATTCTCTGGAACATTTAGCTATACCCTGAGGCATTGCCACACAGCTCTGCAGTGAGCAAGGCTAGCTATGCTTCCATGTTTGTGAGACTCTGCGGGGTCGGGCCGGGCTCGTCAGTGTGAGTGTAACCCTGTGTGCTAATGAGTGCGGCTAGCATGTGCTTTGATTGTGGGCCAGACAAGCCTCAGGCAACACTGCTAGGTGTATTTGTCCTGTTCCCAGCTATCTCTCTCTCTCTCTCTCTCTCTCTCACAAACACACACACACACACACACACACACACACACACACGGGGTCCTCACTCCATTCCCACATTCCAATGCTGCCCCTCCTTTGCTAACAAGGATACCAGGCTCTCACTGTCCCCTCCTTTGGCAGTGTCCTCCAAGGAGAGGAGTGGGAGAGGGAGACCCTGAATTACAATAATCACTTCTCTATTCTTCAGTGCAATAGTAAGAGGGGGGTATTGTTAATATTTGATAGTTGGGGATACTGAGTTTCACACATTAAGTGGCCTATATCGATGGCCCTATCACCAAAGAGTCGAAACTAGCTTATCTGGTTCTACAGCACCGGTCTGTTCTCACCCCAGCTGACCACAGGAACTCGGTGTACCCTGGACTCACATCACCATAGCTGAACTCCATGGGATCTGCCTGAAATACAACGGTACCTACTGTGATTTATGTCTGTGAGCAAAGAACCCAGGTGTCCGTGCCAGCCTCAGGACTCACCTCCCTGCCTGGCTAGGGCTCTGATGGTCAGTGATGCCTAAGGTTCCTTCTGGCTCTAGGAGCCTGCAAGCTCCCAGGGAATCTTTCTCACCTTACAGGCAAAGTGGACACATTTTAACATGTGGCGAATGAACTCCCTGCACCGTCAGGGCAGTGTAACCTGGAACGCCTGGTGTGATGGTGGAAATCTGGGGCAAGGCTGAAGGGGACATGGGATGTTGGGGGGTGTGGGGGGGTGTTGGGGTAGGAGGCCCAGGTCAAGGGATTTTTCAATCAATCGGCTAAACAATAACCCCGCGAACCCAGGCTGGTTTAGTCTTCCTTACCCCTGCCTGTCTGCTTGGCCTCTCTGATCACCCTTGTCTGGCAGCCTTCTTCTGCTCTGTTCAACGACCCTTCCTCCATCTGAGTAATTTCTCCCCCAACTCCTTCCCAAGCAGGACTCCTTGGCCCACTGCTCCTTCCTGCATTCCGGGCCCAACCTAGTTCCCACTGCCTCTAAGTAGCAGTTACACACACAGGCACCGCACCCCAACACCACCGCCACTCACTCCCCAAATCAGGTTTTCCCTTCTTTTTCTTCAGTCTACCGGCTCCCAAGGTTCTAATAAATCCTTTTCTACGCTGCTCACCCTGTCCCGAAATAGCTCAGAAAACAGGAGACCAAAACCCTCCTTGCCCACCGCGCAGACTCCTGGATTCTGAGAACCCCAGCCCGCCTAGTCCTTCGGGAAATCAGGGAGGTGCAAGGGAACTCGGAAAGCTGACACCGCCAACGCCCCGCGGACCCCCCAAGCTCCGGGCCACCCTTCCCGCCCCTCCGGGGACCCTCAAAAGGCTGGGGCTGAAGGTGGACAGACGCCCAAAATCTCACCGATGACCGTGAGCCTGGTGCCCGGACCGAAATGCTGCTCGTAAGAGCACAGAGACACAGCCCGGCTCTCAAACCCTGCAGCGCCTGGAGCTACTTC